AGGTCTTACATGCTAATCGTGAAGAGAAAGAAATATTAATCCCATTCATTCGTGTGTTTGGTTAGGTTATGTATTCTCGGTGGTGTGATTTTATGCTCAAAGTATATGAAGTTGTGTGTTGCAGAAGTTACTAGAGACCGTATTTATTATCCCGTGTGTTGCAGAAGTTACTAGAGACCGTATTTATTATCCCGTGTGTTGCAGAAGTTAAAAAACCGTATTTATTTATTTTCCGTGTGTTGCAGAAGTTAATAAACCGTATTTATATTTCCGTGTGTTGCAGAAGTTAATAGACCGCATTTATTTTTCCGTGTATTACAAAATTCAAGAGACCTTATACATCTTCGCGTGTGTTGCAGAAATTAATATTCACATATCACCGTCGCCATAATCGCCTTTATCAGTCATTACGATAGAGTGACGCGTACTCAGAAATATCTTACTCATTTTTCGTTTAATTTTATATAATTCTCATAATACTAAGCCGACGCAGTTAGCCCTTTGAGTACGATGATTTTTTTTAATAACTAATACATTCCAGTGATTAATGTATGAGTGAAGGTCTGTTTATTTTGTTTGATATAATAATCAGTAGAGTGAAGTAGACGACCTTGAACCACGAGCTGTCTTAACTTATACTTGACACGAACGATAAAGATTAATGGGAGTGTGTGTCTGTCTGTGTGTCTGTCTGTCTGTGTCTTGTCTGTGTGTATGTCTTCCTTGTATATGTATGTGTACCTTATGTCTGTGTCTGTATATGTTGTGTCTGTGTACCTCGTGTGTGTGTGTGTCTGTCTGTGTACGTAAGTCTTGTTAACACGATACACTTTCTATTGTTAGATTAATTTATGTAGACATTTAGTGGGGAAATTATAGATAAGTTATTTAATAGGCAAAGGTTAGTCTATCTATCTATCTATCTATCTATCTATCTATCTATCTATCTATCTATCTATCTATCTATCTATCTACCCATCTATCTATCTATTCATCTGATTCACTATCTATCTATCTATTCATTCATCTACTCCATCTATCTATCCATTTCATCTATCTGTCTATCTCACACACACACACAGTTCTCCTGCTCACGTTGTCCCACTGTCACGTCATGTCCAAATAGTGTTCGTGTCACCCCGTGTGTTAAGGCTAAGTATGTGTATGCGGAAGTTACTTAGGTAGTAGGTGTGAGGGTGAGGGGGGGGACTGCGTGTATACAGTGTTTTATGTATTAACTGCATTGCATCTTTATTTTCCTTTACTATTTTTATTGTTTGTGACTTTATTTTAGTGTTTTTGTTAACTTTTTATGTAATTGTTCTTTTGTTTTCTTTAATTGTTCTTTTGTTTTCTTTAATTGTTCTTTTGTTTTCTTTAATTGTTCTTTTGTTTTCTTTAATGGTTATTTTGTTTTCTTTAATTGTTCTTTTGTTTTCTTTAATTGTTCTTTTGTTTTCTTTAATTGTTCTTTTGTTTTCTTTAATGATTCTTTTGTTTTCTTTAATTGTTCTTTTGTTTTCTTTGATGGTTCTTTGTTTTCTTTGTGTTTCGATTTCTTTAATTGTTTCTTCGTTTTCTGTAATTGTTTTTCATTTTCTTTTATGTTTTGTTTAATGATTTAGTAAAATTTTCCTAAGTAGAATAAAGTAATATATTGCGTTAATTGGTTTCAATAATGTTTAGTGTTGTGTTTGTTCATTGTGATCATGACTCAACACTCTGTTCGGTTTACCTGAAGATTAGACACCCCAGCTTATAATACCAGACGAATACAAACACCCTATCGCTGACCTAAACTCTCCTAATCTAACCTCACCTTATATAATCTGACCCAACCTAACCTAACCCAACTTATCTTACCCCCCCTTCCAGGTGTCCTTTGGGTATTTAATCATCAGGTGATTCCTCTGTTCACATGTGTTATGAATAAGCTTTAGGAAGTAATAATAACAGATATAGACTTACAGTAGATGTTCGTGTGGCAAAGTGGTTTTTATATTCAGCTTGGCTATATAATGGTTCCTCGTTCAGATTTTCAGTTACTCTACGTTTTATTACCTGTGGGAAAAAAAAGGGTCATTAGGTATAGAAAATGTACTGATTAGTTTTGTGTGTGTTAGTATTATGTGAAGTAAATGTTATTAGTTATATTAAACATAGTAAACAATGATATCAATTACCGCCAATGGAGGAAAAAGGTATTGTTTATGATTGTAATGTAAACTAGACTGGTGATGTTTTTTTGTCCTTGTAAACAGAGCGTCAGTTACAAACATATATTTTTCATGTGTTAATTTACATTTTGTTTGGAGGTGTAAATATTGTGTCAGCTGTCAGGGATAGAGCACTAAATAATGTGTCAGTAGTGAGGGAGGCGGAACACTGACTACTAACACAGTATCAGTAGTGAGGGAGGCAGAACACTGACTACTAACACAGTACCAGTAGTGAGGGAGGCAGAACACTGACTACTAACACAGTACCAGTAGTGAGGGAGGCAGAACACTGACTACTAACACAGTATCAGTAGTGAGGGAGGCAGAACACTGACTACTAACACAGTACCAGTAGTGAGGGAGGCAGAACACTGACTACTAACACAGTACCAGTAGTGAGGGAGGCAGAACACTGACTACTAACACAGTACCAGTAGTGAGGGAGGCAGAACACTGACTACTAACACAGTACCAGTAGTGAGGGAGGCAGAACACTGACTACTAACACAGTATCAGTAGTGAGGGAGGCAGAACACTGACTACTAACACAGTACCAGTAGTGAGGGAGGCAGAACACTGACTACTAACACAGTACCAGTAGTGAGGGAGGCAGAACACTGACTACTAACACAGTATCAGTAGTGAGGGAGGCAGAACACTGACTACTAACACAGTACCAGTAGTGAGGGAGGCAGAACACTGACTACTAACACAGTACCAGTAGTGAGGGAGGCAGAACACTGACTACTAACACAGTATCAGTAGTGAGGGAGGCAGAACACTGACTACTAACACAGTACCAGTAGTGAGGGAGGCAGAACACTGACTACTAACACAGTACCAGTAGTGAGGGAGGCAGAACACTGACTACTAACACAGTACCAGTAGTGACTACTAACACAGTACCAGTAGTGAGGAGGCAGAACACTGACTACTAACACAGTACCAGTAGTGAGGAGGCAAGAACACTGACTACTAACACAGTACCAGTAGTGAGGGAGGCAGAACACTGACTACTAACACAGTACCAGTAGTGAGGGAGGCGAACACTGACTACTAACACAGTATCCAGTAGTGAGGGAGGCGAACACTGACTACTAACACAGTATCCAGTAGTGAGGGAGGCAGAACACTGACTACTAACACAGTATCAGTAGTGAGGGAGGCAGAACACTGACTACTAACACAGTACCAGTAGTGAGGGAGGCAGAACACTGACTACTAACACAGTACCAGTAGTGAGGGAGGCAGAACACTGACTACTAACACAGTACCAGTAGTGAGGGAGGCAGAACACTGACTACTAACACAGTATCAGTAGTGAGGGAGGCAGAACACTGACTACTAACACAGTATCAGTAGTGAGGGAGGCAGAACACTGACTACTAACACAGTACCAGTAGTGAGGGAGGCAGAACACTGACTACTAACACAGTACCAGTAGTGAGGCGGAACACTGACTACTAACACAGTATCAGTAGTGAGGGAGGCAGACACTGACTACTAACACAGTATCAGTAGTGAGGGCAGAACACTGACTACTAACAGTACCAGTAGTGAGGAGGCAGAACACTGACTACTAACACAGTACCAGTAGTGAGGAGGCGGAACACTGACTACTAACACAGTATCAGTAGTGAGGAGGCAGAACACTGACTACTAACACAGTATCAGTAGTGAGGAGGCAGAACACTGACTACTAACACAGTATCAGTAGTGAGGAGGCAGAACACTGACTACTAACACAGTACCAGTAGTGAGGGAGGCAGAACACTGACTACTAACACAGTACCAGTAGTGAGGAGGCAGAACACTGACTACTAACACAGTATCAGTAGTGAGGAGGCAGAACACTGACTACCAGTATCAGTAGTGAGGCAGAACACGACTACAACACAGTACCAGTAGTGAGGGAGGCAGAACACTGACTACTAACACAGTACCAGTAGTGAGGAGGCAGAACACTGACTACTAACACAGTACCAGTAGTGAGGGAGGCAGAACACTGACTACTAACACAGTACCAGTAGTGAGGGAGGCAGAACACTGACTACTAACACAGTACCAGTAGTGAGGAGGCAGAACACTGACTACTAACACAGTACCAGTAGTGAGGAGGCAGAACACTGACTACTAACACAGTACCAGTAGTGAGGAGGCAGAACACTGACTACTAACACAGTACCAGTGGTGAAGGCGGAACACTGACTACAACACAGTACCAGTAGTGAGGCAGGGCACTGACTACTAACACAGTACCAGTAGTGAGGGAGGCAGAACACTGACTACTAACAGTACCAGTAGTGAGGAGGCAGGACACTGACTCTAACACAGTATCAGTAGTGAGGCAGAACACTGACTACTAACACAGTATCAGTAGTAGGGAGGAGAACATGACTACTAACACAGTATCAGTAGTGAGGGGGCAGAACACTGACTACTAACACAGTATCAGTAGTGAGAGGCAGAACACTGCTACTAACACAGTACCAGTAGTGAGGAGGCAAACACTGACTACTAACACAGTACCAGTAGTGAGGAGGAGGCAGAACACTGACTACTAACACAGTACCAGTAGTGAGGAGGCAGAACACTGACAACTAACACAGTATCAGTAGTGAGAGACAGAACACTGACTACTAACACAGTATCAGTAGTGAGGGAGGCAGAACACTGACTACTAACACAGTACCAGTAGTGAGGGAGGCAGAACACTGACTACTAACACAGTACCAGTAGTGAGGGAGGCAGAACACTAAGCAGGTATGGTCTGTGTTGCAGGAGCTGTATGATGTGAGGAGGGTCCCAGCGCCACCCATGGAGAGATGCGCCTCAAACACCTCCACCTTCTCCTTCAGCCAGGACATATGCAGGTACGTCAACCTCCTCCTCATCCTTCAACACCTCTTCCTCCTACACCTCTTCCTCCAACATCTCCTCTTCCTCCAACACCTCCTCGTCTTCCTCCACCACCTCCTCTTCCTCCAACACCCCCTCCTCTTCCTCCAACACCTCTTCCTCTTCCTCCAACACCACCTCCTCTTCCTCCAACACCTCTTCCTCTTCCTCCAACACCACCTCCTCTTCCTCCAACACCTCCACAATCTCCTACACCCAAGACATCAATCACACGATCTCGTCACGTCTGTTCCACCAGCTATATAACGTTGTTCCAAGTTTTCCACCAATCACACGACGTCGCCCCAAGCGTTCCACCAATAGCGTTACCTCCTTCCATGTACTCAGATACCCACAAAACATCTCCCAGGAACCGGTTGATGTCATCGTACTCGGTTTTTAAATTACTTAAGACAGGTTTATAAAGTAACGAAACTTAGGATCACCTAAGGATTAAACACCCTAACACTAGCCTAACCTAACTTAACCACCTAACCTAAGTCCAGGTAGCATTAAGGCGTTTCATCAACAGGTGAATTAAGCTGGGATGCCTAATCTTCAGGTGATCCAAAACTTACATGCAGTCTGTCTGTATGTTAACACCTCTAGAAGTTTGGCTTAATTGTCGTCAAACTAGACATATGGGGTGACTCTCCTTCCCTGCCCCAGAATGGTTACAAATGGCTATGACATAAGAGGTTGTATCTAAAGAAGATTAAAGACTTCATCATACGTCTGCCAGTGCTGATAGCTGCCATGAGGGAGGATGGGAGGAAAAACATGGGACTACTAGCGACCCAAACTATCGTACAGCATGAGTTAGAAATTTGATGAACAATAATAGAATGATTTGTTTTAGGTGAGACCAAACAGTGGCCACATCAAGAGAAGGTATGTTTGTTTTGTTTAGTTTTATGGATACAATAGGCGGGGTATACATAGAGTGGGTGGATGTGGTATGGGTGTGGTGAGGGGCGTGTAGGGGGCATCATGGGTATGGTATGGGTGTGGTGAGGAGCAGGTGGGAGAATCATGGGTATGGTGAGGGCACGGGTGTGGGTATCATGAGTGTGGTGAGGGAACGGGTGGGGGCATCATGAGTGTGGTCAGGGCACGGGTGGGGGTATCATGGGCGTGGTATGGGTGTGGTGAGGGCACGGGTGGCAGGACCCGAGTGGCGGTGCGTGGCTGGTATTGATTCCTTCATGTAGGTCACACGCCTCCCCTCTCTCTCTCTCCTCCCTGTCGCATCCTCCACCACGCCCCCCGCCACGCCCACTCCACCACGCCCACGCCTCCACCACGCCCATGCTCCCACCACCATGCTCCCACCACGCCCACTCTCCTACCACCCACACTCCCCACCACACCCACGCCTCTACCACCCATGCTTCCCCCCAACACCTCTCCTCACATGCCTTTTCCTACGTCCCTAAGCACTCCCACCTCCCATATCGCCACACGCCCATCCCTCTGCCCTTTCTTACACGCCCACGCCTACTCGTCATTCATATCTAAAGGCTCAACCACGCCCTGCATTTCGCCCCGCATCTCCACGCCCGCATCTCCCGCCCGGCTCATGGTGCGTGGGCATTCCAGTTGCCTGCCCGCCGTTACCCCCCAGCCTAGCAGCGATTCGGATTACTCTCTCTCTCTCTCTCTCTCTCTCTCTCCCCCCCTCTCTCTCACACACACGCACGTCCTCAACATCCATCTTAGTGAGGAGATAGAGTAGAACAATTATGAGAGACACTCAGTCTCAAGAGGAGGGGAGGAGGAGGAGGCTAATGAGGGAGGGGAGAAAGAGATAAGAGAAGATGTGAAAAAAGCTTGTAGAGAAATTGAAGAGAGAGAGAGACGTGATAAGAGTGGAAACAGGGAGTGAGGGAGAGGTTAAAGAAGTGAGTAAATGGGAAGGAATGAAGAAATACAAGAGAAGTGAGTGTGAATGGGGTTTATGGAGAGGAGGAGGTGAGGTGAGGGGGAGGGGGAGGGAAGGAAAGGGAGAGCAGGAGGGAGTTGAAAAGGTGGGAGGGAGTTAATAATAATAATTAACGTTTTATTAAGACAACACGGTAGCCCGAAGACTGAAAATATACAATGAACAGAGGTGATAGGTTACATATGGTGGAAGCGGGGAGTGGGTCACTTGATTGACAAAACTCAATACGAAAATAAAGAAACAAGGAGTCAACATATAGATTAACTATAGATCTGGTAATGTTTGAGCTGGAGTTATAGAGAAGAGAAAGGTGTGGGAAGGAGGAGGTCCGAGAAGAGGAGGGAGGGTGGGAGGAGGTTCGACAGAGGAGGAGGGTGGGAAGGAGGAGGTTCGAGAAAGAGAGGGAGGTGGGGAAGAGGAGGGTTCGAGGAGGAGGTGGGAGGAGGAGGAGGTCCGAGAAGAGGAGGAGGTGGGAAGGAGGAGGGTCCGAGAAGAGGAGGAGGGTGGGAAGGAGGAGGGTTCGAGGAAGAGGAGGGAGGGTGGGAAGGAGGAGGGTTCGAGAAAGGAGGGAGGTGGGAAGGAGGAGGGTCCGAGAAGAGGAGGAGGTGGGAAGGAAGAGGTCCGAGAAGGGAGGAGGGAGTGGGGAAGGAGGGAGGGTTCGAGAGGGAGGGAGGGAAGAGGGAGGGTTCGAGAAGGAGGAGGGTGGAAAGAGGAGGGTTCGGAAGAAAAGAGAGGAAGGAGAGGGAAGGAGGAGGTTCGAGAAGAGGAGGTGGGAAGAGGAGGGTTCGAGAGGAGGAGGGTTCGAGAGGGAGGAGGTGGGGAAGGAGGAGGTTCGAGAGAGGAGGGTGGGAAGGAGGGTAGGGAAGGAGGAGGGTCGAGAGAGGAGGGTGGGAAGGAGGGGAGGGTTCGAGAGGAGGGAGTGGGAAGGAGGGAGGGGTTCGAGAAGAAGAGGAGGAGGGAAGGAGGGTTCGAGAGGAGGAGGGTTCGAGAAGGGAGGGAGGGTGGGAAGAGGGAGTTCGAGAGAGGGAGGGTTCGAGAAGAGGGAGGGAGGGAGGAAGGAGGGAGGTTCGAGAGAAAGGAGGGAGGATGGGAAGGAGGGAGGTTCGAGAAAAGGAGGGAGGGAGGGAAGGAGGGAGGGTTCGAAAGGAGGGAGGATGGGAAGGAGGAGGGTTCGAGAAGAGGAGGAGGGAGGGTCGGGGAGAGGGAGGGAAGGAAGGTGTGTCACGTGTACCAACGCCTCCAAAGTGCAGGTAACAGGTGTGCATGCACACCTGCTGGCCTTAACTACCACCTGCAGTCTCTCTCCCCTCTCTGGGTTTGACTCCAGATAGATTCCTTTGTAACAATAAGATCTCTTGGCCAATTTGATAAGACCGAGAATGATTAAGGACTAATTAGAGAGAGATTGTGTAGTGTGGATTCAGGAAGTGAAAGTGAAACAGCCGCCGCTTTGCGTGTGCTGTGGTGGTGAGGAGGAAAGAAGAAAGTAGGAGGAAGAAGAAGAAGAAGAAAGAAAGAAGAAGAAGAAAGAAGAAGAAAGAGCCAGAGGTTGGAAGAATAGGAGGAAAATTAGATAACGAGGTGGAAGAAGAAAGAGGAGGAGGAGAATTAGATGAGGAGGCAGATGAGGAAGAAGAAGGGAGAAAGAGGAGGAGGAGGAAGAAAAAGAGGGAAGAGAGGTGGAGGAGGCGGCGGAGAGGAGGTAGTACCACAAGGTCCGTAAGCGGGAAGGAATGGCATAATGAGGAGGGGGTGGAGAGTCTATATTGGTGACGCCATATTTGGTGTGTGTGTTGGGTTCGACATACTGCACAGTCAGTCAATAGAAGCAATAAGACCATTCCTTTCCTCCCCCTTCCTCCTCTCCCCTTCCCTCCTCCCCCCTCCACCCCTCCCCCCTTCCTCCCCTCCCCCCTTGAGGTGAACGAACTGAAGGGTTACTGCTTCAAATGTGTTTCTCTTTCTGTTCTCAAAAGTTAGGATCACCTGAAGATTAGTTCCCATCCCATAATTTATTGGGAGGTTAGTATTAGGTTTGGTTAGTTTAGGTTAGGTTAGGTTAGTTTAGGTTAGGTTTGGTTAGGTTAGGTTTGGTTAGATTAGGTTAGGTTTTTTTTCTTAAGGTGACCCAAAACCTATTGAAGGTATGAACCCACAGCACTGCCATGACTCCACTGTGTGAGTGATAGTCGGTGTGTAAAGGAATTAACTGGATATTGACTGTAAATTACCCACCATTTTCTTTCACGCTTACTTCGTGAAGCGAAAGAAAACAAAATACTATTTAAGGCAAACTAATGTATCTACGGGTGGCAGGACACAACATACACTGGTGGCAGGACACAACATACACTGGTGGCAGGACACAACATACACTGGTGGCAGGACTAACATACACTGGTGGCAGGACACAACATACACTGGTGGCAGGACACAACATACACTGGTGGCAGGACACAACATACACTGGTGGCAGGACGCAACATACACTGGTGGCAGGACCAACATACACTGGTGGCAGGACACAACATACACTGGTGGCAGGACACAACATACACTGGTGGGGACACAACATACACTGGTGGCAGGACACAACATACACTGGTGGCAGGACACAACATACACTGGTGGCAGGACACAACATACACTGGTGGCAGGACACAACATACACTGGTGGCAGGACACAACATACACTGGTGGCAGGACACACATACACTGGTGGCAGGACACAACATACACGGTGGCAGGACACAACATACACTGGTGGCAGGACACAACATACACTGGTGGCAGGACACAACATACACTGGTGGCAGGACGCAACATACACTGGTGGGGACACAACATACACTGGTGGCAGGACACAACACACGTGGCAGGACACCAACATACACTGGTGGCAGGACACAACATACACTGGTGGCAGGACGCAACATACACTGGTGGCAGGACACAACATTACACTGGTGGCAGGACACAACATACACTGTGGCAGGACGCACACACTGGTGGCAGGACACAACATACACTGGT